TAGTATTAATTGAGTTAATTTTTCAATGTTAACAATATGTATGCATATATTTCTTATATCATGTAGTATATATATATATATATATATATATAACGTCATATACATATATGCAAATTTTCATTGATGCCGACGGTGACGGCAAGCGTGACGTAGAGACAGTGACACAAATGTATGTGGGTGATACTAGGTATTGATTCTTGCAATTTACGCGCGACACACATGTTTTTGACACATGTACGTTCCGTTTCGCGGAGCGATCTTGAACGTTGATTTCTACGATGACTTAAAGACGCGTTTTTCATCATTGCGGTACGCATGACGTCGACAATTTACATCAACACTTGTTTCGTGTAGAGAAAGATATGTCAATGAGAAAGAACGCTTAGGTTAAGGAGAGGGCGAGCCATCCATTTGAATGAGATATTATTTCGTGAACGTGCGAAAATGGATAACGTGGCAACCGCTGAATGTCTGACGCTAGACTTGGGTCCGTTTGAGACGGTGCACCGATGGCAACGTATGCCAGAATGCGATGAATTTGTCGGTGCCAGGTAAACTGAAAAACATCAATCATTATTTGTATTCTTTGGACTCTCTGCTCTTGCTACTTTTTCAATGTGGTTCTACAAATTTATTTGGTCCACTTATAATAACAGCTTTATTTAACATTTTATATAAATGCGCGCAATATGTTTAGAACGAAATAGCTATTGATAGCATATTTAATCATCCTTCTTTCCTTTTTGCAGACGCAGCAAACACACTATTGTAGCATATAAAGATGCTATTTATGTTTTTGGTGGCGACAATGGCAAAAGAATGTTGAACGATTTACTGCGCTTTGATGTGAAAGAGAAATCTTGGGGTAGAGCGTTTGCAACGGGAACTCCACCTGCTCCTCGCTATCATCACTCTGCGGTCGTTCATGGATCATCAATGTTTGTGTTTGGTGGTTATACCGGGGATATACACTCCAACTCTAATCTCAGTAATAAGAATGATCTGTTTGAGTATCGCTTCCAGACTGGCCAGTGGACAGAATGGAAATTTATCGGACTGTAAGTATTACTTACATGCTTTAAGAACCCTCTTCCCAATGTCTGGCATTAATTCTTGCTTCTTAATATATTTTTATGGATTTATATCTGAAATATGTTTACTAAATACATTAACATATTTGTAGGACTCCAGTGCCTAGGTCTGCACATGGTGCTGCTGTTTACGATAATAAATTATGGATATTTGCAGGCTATGATGGTAATGCTAGATTGAATGATATGTGGACAATATCATTATTGGTAGGATATTTTAGAAATATTCGCAAAATATAAACATAGAAAATATATTAAATTATTAATATTAATATAAATATTAATTGTACTAAAAATTATATAAAGTAGAGATACCTTATTTTAATTAAATAATTTTGTTAGCCTGGTGATCATAAAGCATGGGAAGAGGTTATTCCGGCTGGTGAGCGTCCACCGACATGCTGCAATTTTCCTGTCGCAGTAGCCAGAGAATCCATGTTCGTTTTTAGTGGCCAGAGTGGGGCTCGGACAACCAACAGTCTCTTTCAATTTCATTTCAAAGAAAGAAGGTAAATTTTATTACGACAGTGTAGATTACACATTTGCGTAATCCATATAATTTGCGATTTATGCAATTCTGTAAATTACATTTTTTTCTAGATGGACGCGGATATCGACGGAGCATATATTACGTGGCGCACCGCCGCCACCCGCGCGGCGATACGGTCACACGATGGTCAGCTTTGATCGCCACCTTTATGTCTTTGGTGGTGCGGCCGATTCGGCTCTGTCCAACGATCTCCATTGCTATGACCTCGATACGCAAACGTGGAATGTCATTTTACCGTCCACCGACAGCCAGGTAGACAACTTGTTCTGTCGAATGTTGTTTTGTTGAATTTTTTTCAATATATAATGTATGTAGGTACCACCTGGCAGGCTTTTTCACGCTGCCGCCGTGATTGGAGAGGCAATGTTCATTTTCGGAGGAACTGTGGACAACAATATACGTTCTGCTGAAATGTACCGCTTTCAGTTTTCGTCGTATCCCAAGTGCACGTTGCACGATGATTTTGGCAGATTGCTTAATATTCGTCTCTTTTGCGACGTGGAATTCATCGTGGGGGAGCTAGGGACCAAAATACCTGCGCACATAGCTATGGTGGCGGCACGTTCACAATTTCTCCGAACGCGCATTCGACAAGCTCGTGAGAAAAGGGACAAGCATCTGGAACAAGTGTTTAGTACAGTTGACGTACCCATCAAAGTTCCACCATTGGAGGTGATTAAAACATCAAATTTAATGTCACGTATTCTCATTTTACCTAAAAATTTATAGAAGAACTAAAGAAAGGAAGATATAACTAAAATAAATGTATATTTATTACAGAAGTATATTTGATCACAAAACATATTTACAAAATTTTACTAATTTTTATTTATAGGTATTGACTATGAGTCTTTCTATCTTCATCGTAAAACTTTTGTTATATACTATCTTTTACGAAAAACAATTAATATCTTTTTTTGATCATGACATCGTGACATCAATCAAATAGAATAAAAAAATTATCATTTAATGGCTTTATAAAGTCATTAAATTTGTATTGTAGGTGATATTGAAAGACGCTGTACCAGAAGCTTTCGAAATGGTGTTAAATTACATTTATACCGATCATATCGATCCCACTAAGAGATCGGACGACAAAATCGAGGATCCGCAGAGTAATCGCATCGTACTTCTTATGATGGACGTGTATCGTCTCGCCGTGCAATTTAATATGGAACGCTTGGAACAATTGTGTGTTAATTACCTCGAGGCAACCATAAGTCACGCGAACGTCTTAGAGGCCTTGCGCAATGCCGTGCACTTGAAGTTATATTTCATAAAAGAGTTTTGCCTTAGTTTCGTCGTCAAGGAAAATAATTATAATTTAATTGTAATGAGCCAAGAATTTGAGACTCTCGATCAGCCGCTAATGGTGGAAATTATTAGGAGACAGCAGATGCCGCAAACCAGAACTTTTACAAAATATGAGTACGAATCTGTTACTGGTATGTATCTTTCACATGCACTTTTACAGAGTATTTTTTACATTAATGTTTAGTTAACGTATACGTTTTTTACGGTTAATCAAGTTTACTCGCTAGGAACCAGTCTGGAGCAAGACATGGAAGCGTTTTTAAAGAACGTTGGTCGGGAATTTTGCGACATCACATTGATGCTGGACGATATGCCGATAACGGCGCATAAGGCTATTCTCGCGGCGAGATGTAGCTATTTTGAAGCAATGTTCCGATCTTTTATGCCTGAAAATAATATGGTGAACGTAAGTTTGGGCAATTTATAAAAATAGATATACTGTCGATTCATATTTTAAACTTTAAACTTTGAACAATGGAAGAGAAGAGACTATATGTAGAAAATTTTACAATACTATATTGTACAATGCAATTAGTAATAAAATATGTGAATGTTACTTTTTATATAGATACAAATCGGGGAGATGATACCGTCGTTAGAATCTTTCTATTCGTTGCTGAGGTACATTTATTATGCGGATGTTTCGATGCCCCCTGAGGATTCCCTGTATCTATTTACTGCGCCAGTGTTTTACGGCTTTACAAACAACAGACTCCAAGCGTTTTGCAAACAGAATCTTGAAATGAATGTTACTTTTGAGAATGTTATACAGATTTTAGAGGCAGCCGATAGGATGCAAGCTGCCGATATGAAGAAGTATGCCCTAAATCTGATAGTTCATCACTTTAGCAAGGTAATATTCAGAAATATTCAGATCGTTATCGACATATAACATTGCTATTATTTAAATATATTTATATAACAAAGTATCATTTTTGTACAGGTTGCTAGGCTTCCAAGATTAAGGCAATTGAGCCGCGAACTTTTGCTGGATATTTTCGATGCATTGGCCGACGAACGTAGCGAGACTAGAACGTGTCAAGATATGACGAATGATTGCTGACGGATTTCTACTTCAGATCGTCGTCCGTGTAGCTGGGATTTACCATCGCCGTGCAGTTTCCAAGTGAATATAAAAAAATCTTATTTTTAAAGAAGCTTTTGTTTTTATTTTCAATTTTGCCGAGTTTTGTCTATGGTGAAAATTATTAATTATAGATAATATTTAAGTGTTACACACATGTAAATGTCAAGTAAAACACATAATGAAGAGGCTAAAAATATTGGTACAATAGTATTCCGGAGTTTTCTCATTCTAGGAATTGTGCCGTGTGAATTTCATCCTCATAGGACGAACGATTCTGTTTGTCGGTAACTGTTATCTCGATCATACAGCTAAATCTTGCTTAACATCAGATATACAGACTCTGCTGCCATTATCGATGACTACATCGTCTGCTTCGATTCATGAATCATCCACCACATGCGATATCGATCATCCAGACACGTCATCTCGTTGTATCGATGACAGGAGGCAACACCAGTGGTCTACTATTACCCGTCGCTGTTCCGTCAGTTGCAACGTATTGAGACGCACCGTCGTTGCACTATCGGACTTCGGGCTTAGAAAGTTATTTCCGTAATCAAGATTTTATTAATATTAAATGAAATGGAGCAATGACTTTTACCGTGTTATAGAACTGCACTTGATATAAAATTGTGCATTGTGCGAGAAATCTTAATGTATGATATTAACTTAGTGACTGTGTAGTGTCTCTATGTGATGTAACGGCATATTAAAGACATCATACAATACATACACAGAATAAGTGGAAAGATATACTTTCCATAAATAGATTAATATCAATGATCACATTTGAACAATGATGTACATTATTACATATGTGTCCTTAATTAGCGATCATTATGATATAGTTGTACAGAGAGTTAAAATATGAGTAGGTAGTAATATATAGCTTTTGTTTTTATAACTTTTTGTTAAAAAAGGAAGAAATTCTTCCGATTGTTCTAAAAATATGTGTATGTACAGATATAATATATAGTACATTTTACATTAAATAAAATTGAATAAAATAAAAATATGTTTATATGCTCACTATTTTTTTTTGTATAATACATTTAAATATATTTAGGAAATATTGCTAAATGAATATTTCTTTTATGATAATCCTATTTTTGTTACTCTTGTAAAAAAAAAATTTTATTACTATGCTTAATAATTGAACTATTATAGCGCGAACAGAATCTGCATATAATATCTAATACGATTACTCAATATTTTCTTTCGCACTATATATATGTTTACTTGTAAACAATATTTATATGATTATTTAACAAATTTGAAGTTACGATCGCCCAGACGGAATTATCGCATATTCGCATTATTGGCGCGATGTATTTACGCATATGATAGACCGCGATTTTACTTTTCTCGACATTCCTGATATTACACACTTGCAAACAATGTTTATTCACAATATTTTAAAATCATCACACGATACTTGATCGCGAATAAATTTGCATCACAAGCGATTCGAAAATGCAAATGATCGTGCGCTATTTTAACTTTTCAAGTGTTAAGAACGCAATTATTACAAGAAAGTTTCAAAACTCTAAAAATTCTTTATTCGATAGCCAATCGGTACGTTGGAAAAATGTAATATGTCGCGTTTCATAAAAATTGGCGCTGAAGCTGAAGTCAACCGCGTCACATGACAGCCATATTCAAATCGCGTCGATCGAAGTCGGAAGTTGAGATATTTAGTCGTTTCCGTTCTCGTCTGTAGAGTTTGCGCGCGATTAAGTTGTCTCATCGGACTGATCGGACGTTTATCGTGCGGATATAATCGCGATCGAGTATCGAAAATGTTGTAAATGTCGAAGGAACGGAATAATTGATCACTGTGATTAATGTCGCGATTGTTATAGTCGCAATTATAATACGATACTGTGACTATAAGAATTATACTTGTCTGGTCAGTTACTCGAGTCACAATTTCAAATTATTGAGAATAAATATTGTTTGCAAATAAGTGTGTGTATATAGTATCGGGAGTGTTGAAAGAAGTATCGGGCGATCACCGTATTATGTATGTATATATATACATATATGTTATTGTATATCGTGGCGTTGTATGTATAGTGCGAACGGATGATAATTCTCAATATCAAACGTGTATTCATAAAATTAAGAAAAATTTAGTTTCCAAAAAGAAATATTGCTTGCAAACTTATAATGTCGGAAGTGCCGAGAAAAGAATTGGGCGACTATCGTATTACGCGCAAATATCGTATATCGCGTCGGTGGTGCGACAATTTCATCAAATGAAAACTTCGCGCGACCATCGATACGGTTTTTTTGTTCGTGTCGACAGTGCGACAATTCCGTCAAGTGAACTCCATGTGACCGTAACCAAATATTATTTATGTGAGTATTAATCAAAAATTATCGAGAATAAATATCGCCTACAAATGTTTTTGTACTAGGAAATGCCTAGAAAAAAAAAGTTTAATATGAAGATTCTCTGATTCGTATATTTCCCAGACAGCACAAGGATGTCCTTAGGACGTCCAAAGGGCATCCAGGACATTTTGAAGTTACGATCGCCCAGACGGAATTATCGCATATTCGCATTATTGGCGCGATGTATTTACGCATATGATAGACCGCGATTTTACTTTTCTCGACATTCCTGATATTACACACTTGCAAACAATGTTTATTCACAATATTTTAAAATCATCACACGATACTTGATCGCGAATAAATTTGCATCACAAGCGATTCGAAAATGCAAATGATCGTGCGCTATTTTAACTTTTCAAGTGTTAAGAACGCAATTATTACAAGAAAGTTTCAAAACTCTAAAAATTCTTTATTCGATAGCCAATCGGTACGTTGGAAAAATGTAATATGTCGCGTTTCATAAAAATTGGCGCTGAAGCTGAAGTCAACCGCGTCACATGACAGCCATATTCAAATCGCGTCGATCGAAGTCGGAAGTTGAGATATTTAGTCGTTTCCGTTCTCGTCTGTAGAGTTTGCGCGCGATTAAGTTGTCTCATCGGACTGATCGGACGTTTATCGTGCGGATATAATCGCGATCGAGTATCGAAAATGTTGTAAATGTCGAAGGAACGGAATAATTGATCACTGTGATTAATGTCGCGATTGTTATAGTCGCAATTATAATACGATACTGTGACTATAAGAATTATACTTGTCTGGTCAGTTACTCGAGTCACAATTTCAAATTATTGAGAATAAATATTGTTTGCAAATAAGTGTGTGTATATAGTATCGGGAGTGTTGAAAGAAGTATCGGGCGATCACCGTATTATGTATGTATATATATACATATATGTTATTGTATATCGTGGCGTTGTATGTATAGTGCGAACGGATGATAATTCTCAATATCAAACGTGTATTCATAAAATTAAGAAAAATTTAGTTTCCAAAAAGAAATATTGCTTGCAAACTTATAATGTCGGAAGTGCCGAGAAAAGAATTGGGCGACTATCGTATTACGCGCAAATATCGTATATCGCGTCGGTGGTGCGACAATTTCATCAAATGAAAACTTCGCGCGACCATCGATACGGTTTTTTTGTTCGTGTCGACAGTGCGACAATTCCGTCAAGTGAACTCCATGTGACCGTAACCAAATATTATTTATGTGAGTATTAATCAAAAATTATCGAGAATAAATATCGCCTACAAATGTTTTTGTACTAGGAAATGCCTAGAAAAAAAATGTTTAATATGAAGATTCTCTGATTCGTATATTTATTTGATATATTTATACGGATATACAAAATATATCTACGATATTTTATTATTTATAAAAAGCACAGAAACCGAAAAAAAATGTCGCTCTCATCCTTTATATTGAACATGTATTCAAACTAATTATCTATATTGGATAAAATATTTACTTTTTGATATAATTATATATTTCAATATACTTTTTAATATAAATATTTTTTAATAATCAGTTTTTTATGTGTGTGATATATTATTTTTAATAAAAAATGCTTTGATGACAGATAAATAACTTAACAATTTGCTGAATTAATAATATTTATGTTTATATTTGAATCATAATTTGTTACAAAGAAAATAGTAATAAAATTATAGTTAGTTATAAAATATGCATCACATAAATAATATTGATTTAAATGTATGATTAATTTACTAAAAGATATCATTGCTGAATTTAAAAACTTCTAGCATTTGCAATATGTACAATATTTGATATATTTATATATTAATGTATCCAAATATAATTGATATAATATAATTTAATATATATTGAAATCACACATATTTTAACTGTTGAATTTAAATATAGTATGATATAGCAAATATATAGCTAGATTTAAATTAGCATTATATTTTACAAGAGAATGTATAAACAATCACACTAAATTAAATTACATACCCAACGGATTTTCTCTTAAATTTCATAAACCATAGTAATTGTTTATGTATAATAAAAAAAATTCATAAATTATAGGATGAATGGTAATATTAATAAGCGCAGTTAATAAATTATGTATTATATTTTAATCTCGATTATAATTGTACATACATACGATTCGTATTTTTATGGAAGTAATTAATACTTCAAACTTAAGGGCAAATAATACGAATCGAGGGAACGAGAGGAACCGGACAACAGGAGCTCGTATAAAATCATTGCTCTATCTTTTCCTGTCTCTCTCTCTCTTTCTTTCTTTTCTACATAATGTTATCTTTATATAGATGGCATTATTGTATTTAATGTTATCTCTAAATAGCTGATATTTATTTTTTGAATACACCATCCAATTAGTAACGCATTTCAAGAATCGGTCCTGAAATCAATTTTTTCATCTTAGAACAAAATCTTCCAGTTGGATTTGTACTTAAAATAAATATCCCTTCAATGTTTTTCCATCTTTTCGTTCCTTCGTCCTGTCGCTCATCAAATTTTGCTTGTAGGAAATAACGCAACGTTTACGATTCGTTATAGCTCATTTTTCATAATCTTCGACCACACACGTTGACGACATGTTGACGACACATACTTTGACATAGTTATCGAATCTTTTTCATGAATGTAACGAAATGACTAAATGGAATGCGAGTTTATAAGTAAAGAGTATACATAGTCAAATGTAAAAAGAACGTGGTAGTTTTTCTAATGGTCTCCCCTCTAATTGACCATAACATGCTGTTACTCTCATTTCGAAGTGTTAAATAAATTCCGATCGGTTACTGTATCTGCATGTTACGCTGCTATTGGATATGCATGGCAATATTTTGAATATGATTTAAATTCCTCTTTTACATTTGTTATTTACACTTCATACGGATATTCTTCATAATGCATATTCTGTTCAATCATTTGTTACGTTCAAGATTGTTTCAAGTAAAATCTTTCTCGAAAGGTTTATTACTTTTCACTTATCCGTTTTTAAATCGTTAAGTTCTAACATCCATCAGAGCCGCCGCAAAACAATGTGCAAATTGTGCATTGCATAAAAGCGTTTCATCACGAAGGAAGAAAGGATAGTTTTAAGTTTAAAAAAATTGAAATATTATATGTGTTACAAATAATGTTTTATAGAATTTACTTTTCTTTCGACTAAACTCAAGATCCTCATTCAAACTTTCGCAAACAAGTATGATATCATATTATTCTATTCAATAACAGTTTCAGAGAAGGGTGTCCTCAAACGTCGAATTTAAATCTAAAATGTTTTTTTTTTCTTTTTTAGAATAAACACAAGAATAAAGTGGTTTTAAATTTCTTTTATCTTAAAATATTTTGACATCTTCCTATACTTTATTGTTACTTCACTAATTTATTCGTTGAACCTGAAAAAGGCAATTGTACTTGAAATTCTTTCTTTCATCATTAGAAAATATTAGATGCGCCAAATGTATTTCCATGATTTTGATAAATATCAATTTCTTATCTTCTAAAAAAATTTTTCTTCGCTAAAATATTAAATAAATTCTTTTATAAAGGCGTCTTAAATGTCAACGACGGCCCTACACACTCACTATGTAATCTTAATGTAATTATATATGCTAAGTAGGCCTTTTTGTTCGTCGCTTAAAAGTCTAAATCGTCTGAATGTTGAATATTGCATGCGACTGTCCAACACCGCGATGCAATATTAAACATAGACAATTCGGACTTGGATAAATATTATAAAGAAACATCTACTATACAAGGATAACGAGATAAAGTAGCAATACGGTCGTGGTACAAACTTCACGTTGATTTCGAATGGCCCCAATCTGAAAATACAGAAACAACGATATGGGCAATTGGCATTATGGTTTTACAGCGTGACGCGTCTTACCGATTGTAAAATTGCTTGATACGTTTCCAGATAGAATTCCAGAGAGTGCGAGACAATCAATCCTCGAAGATCAATGCTCCCCGAATTTTTTTTTCTATGCGAAAGTGTGTGCAGCACTCACACATAGAGTCAAAGAGAAGAATGCATCTCGTCGAGCATTATATATCACGTATATCCACGTCGAGCTTTACATATCACGTACATCTATGTCGGCGGTGTTGTCCATACCATACATTCTTTGGGAAATTCTTCTTGCAGGTCAATTCGCAGGTCATTTCTACGAGCAATACCAGTTCTGTTATCAACGAATGTCTACAATATTAAAAGAGAAAATTTAAAGCAACATCGAGATGATTATCTTTTTGGTCTACTATCTTAACAGACATTTTTAGAATATTATCATTCTTTTCTCTTATCACATTTTTCAATATACGATCATTTAAGTCGTACATAATAAATTGTTAAATAATAACTGGAGAAGCATTTTAGTAACAATTCGTTATAAATTGATATAAATATATATTTTTGCTATATTATTTTTTAATAATAAATATGTAACATCGTTACCTTTTCTTCGACGACGCTACTCGTCGACGGCATTCTCTGCGAAGGATCTAACCTTCTCCGTCTTTCCTCGATAACTTCGGTGTCGGAGTTGCTTATCGTGGTTGCCTGCATCACCGGTTGTGTCAGGGATGCATTCACATGCCTTGTTTTGATCAAAGGCGGATTTCGGGATTGCGGTAACGCAAACGCTCGTCTAAGAGCACCTCGTGGTGGCGACGGCGGTGGGTAGGATATACCTGACGACACATATGATCGGTATATGAATATTTGTTTAAAGCACATCTTTATAGACACATTCTTGTTTATAAATAAATATTTCTATAAAAAAAACAATCAAGATCAATTATGGACAGAATAGGAAATCAAACAAAATTATAAAACATATTTCTCTGCTTTTCTCATCTAAGGATATTAAAATAAAAATTTTTATCAATGCGGTATTTATCGGAGTTTTCAAATGGGAATGATATTTGGGGATGTTTAGGAAATAATATCTACAACAAACAAGTCTATTAAACGATTCACCAACGCTTTATATCTAATAAAATCTACATTAAACTATATGTTACAACACTTTGGTATTATATTACGTTTCTCTCGTGTTTGCATCCTGGATGACAATCCCGCTATTTTTAATAAGCAAATGGCATTAAAACATATATGGTTTCAAAATAGAGAAGCGTTCAGTGAGATGGTACTCGTGATAGTAATTTACATGTTACTACGATCTAATCGGCGTGCAGAGTTAGAAAGTGTGCGAGACTACGTCGTTAGTGCATAACGGCCTTTATTTTGTAACTCAGTTCCTGGAAAATTGCTACAAACGTAGGCACAGAGATACGCGTCGGTAATTGCTACCTCGGTGTCCTGGTGAGAGCAGAGTATCCTTGCTCTTTGTCATCTGCGGCACGATGAGCAATGAATTCGGTGGTGTCGGCGACACAGTGGAAGTTTGTGGTGAGGTGGCCAGCGTCAAATTGGGTAGCGATTGACCCAGACTCGAATACGGTACTTGGACACTCAACGTGTTCGGCGTCGGGGATTTACCCAATAACGAACGTCTATTTCAGACAACGAGTTTTAATAGAGATGTTATTAATCCATTTTTTTTACGATTCATCAATGTGAAATCACAAGCTCGAGGTTTCAACATTGCGCTTACCTTATGTGCAATCTATGATTATGCCCGGAACTAGATTCGCCACCCTCCTCCGATGACAATGAACTCGATGCTCGCGGTTGTTCGTTTGTTTCCACGCTGACGTTTCTGCTCGGATTATAACTGGGAAGAAAGCTGCTGCTTCCCGGAGACACGCCTTCCATCTCCATACTACCGCTGGAAATGATGAAACGCATTCCATAGAATTTTATATACAATTGCATCGCGTAGGCAACACGTAAACAGGACTTTGATTAGGTGTCGAGATTTTTTTTCACTTTTTTGATATATACCTATGGCTATGAGCGAGACTGCTAACATGCGAGGCTCTGCTACTACCACGCGGAGTTCTTGGAAAGTTCCCTTCGCACTCTTCTACCTCGAAATCGCCATCGCCCAATGTACTTGGTTGCCTGCTGACAGTTGCCAGATTCATTGCTGGCTCGGTACCGAGCGACGGTACTTTCATCAATGCGAATTGTTGTTTGGCGTGTCTCAAGGATTCCATCCATGACTGAAAGAGCGTATGGTACTGTTAGTTCAAAACAACTTCCGCTCGTTAACTAGAAACCGTTAGCTAAAAACGTGAAGATTTATAGCCATCGGTATCACCAGTATCGATCAACACTTCAACTTTAAGTTTAATTAATACTATCTTCTCTTTCTTAGATGATTAAAAAATTGTGTTGTGTATATATGAGCTAGAAATAGAGATAAAGATTTAATTGAAACTATTACCGCTAGTTAAGCGACATTGCTGAAGACCGTCGTTAATGAAGGTAAACTACCAACGCGGAATTTAAATCGAACGGGACAGTGAATCAACATTCTGCGAACTTGGTCGTAATTCATGATGGTTGTTTGTCGAGTTACCTTGGCTAGTTTCGGGTCACCGGCGCTAAGGATTAAAGCGGCCGAAACTGTCCCGTATTCGTTAAGATAAACCAATCCCAGACTGGACGGTTCTTTGACCTCGTGTATTCGTATGCGGTCGACAACATACGGTTGCCTAATGATCTTGAACATTTTTTTCGTTGTAGGTTTGCAAATCAACAGCATGTCCGTCAATAATAGTACATGCACTTCCATCTGTAAAGGATAATTGATAGATATTATACTGTTAATTTTTTATTTCAACACAATGAGAATTAAATAATTGTTTGGTATTTTTAAGATAGAAGTAGAGAAAAAATTAGTTAAGTTTATAGAAACTTCATAAAATACATCAAATTACAGTAGAATTATTTTATTCAATTATTTCGCTTATTATCGATAATCATGGATATTTTTTTGATCATATATATTTCTGAATGTAGTACTAAAAGTAATTCTGATTTGGCTAAATAACATTATCGACGTATACATATACGTTATATACCTTGCTGGTAGCATCTCTTAGTTTCAAATCCCCTTCTCGAAGAAGGGTTCTCAAGCTGTCCTTCGGGCACCCGGGCATCGGCACCGTGGTAATGTCGATATTGCTGTATAGTTTTATCAGTTTCTCCACTTCCTCATCGAGCCCTTTAGATTCCACGACGTCGTAACTTTCTAGACGGGAGGCTGCGCTGTCCAGCTGAGCAGCCTCCTCGTTTCTCCTTAGGGCCGCGTTCACGGACGCCACGAAACCGTCGACAGACTTGATCTACGTGTGAAACAAATCTTTCAAACGGAATTATCGCTCTTGTGAATTTTTCTTCTCGTGTTTTCTATCGGTGTGAACTAGTTTTATAATTATAGGATTCGCTTTTTATTTACAAAACGCACCATAATATCTGGGCAAATTTTTGAATCCAATTCTCTTTTGCTTTGCTATCCTTATCTGGTATTAATGAGGGAAAAATGAGAAAAATGTAAAATTTATTTTACCATATGGACTAATTCCGCACGTTGCTCCTCGTTCTCTGTATTTTTATAAACGGCTTTGAGCAGAAGCGAATATCTAGTCAGCCTCTGCATCGGCATCACTAGTATGTCCATAAGTTTCAGTCGGTTGCAGTCTTTTTGCGTTTCGCACCACTAATGATTGAGATATTGTTAATATAATTTGCATTATTATTTCCATCTTTACAATTTATTTCTTACAATAATGGTTATTATTAAAAGTAAAAGTTTTACGTTTATGTGCATATTAAACTGTGAAATTTAAAAGACTTGTCTGTTACGAATTTTTGTATATATACAGAAAAAGAGACAGAGAAGATTTTAGCTTTGTAACATATATAAAAACAGAAAGAAAAGTTTAGATTAACAGAGCATGTATACATACCACCAGATACGCCGTGAAAAGCTGGTTATCATTCAGTCGGTCCTTACAATATTGCTGACACTTGCTTTGCTCGGCGCAGTATCTCGTGTAAGGCGCGAACGTCTGCTCGAAAGTTTCGAAGCCCAGCAGAAGATGACCGGGATCGAGCGGTTGTCCGCTCGATCTCGACGTATTCACCATCGTGAGCAGATACTCGGTCCAGAAGTAGCGATTAGCGGCGTAGATATCAGGTATATTGCTGAAGAGCTTTGACCTGTCGACCTCGTTCAGGATATTCGAGGCCTGCAGGCTACAGAGGCACGCCATGAAGAGCTGCGATATCAGAGACGATCATCATCACTTTTTAGGAAGGTTGAAAACTCTAATTTCAATCATCTCTGAACTCTAATTGTAGGGAGTTTTAATTTTCAGATATTCGTGGTATATATCCATCACACACAATTTGATTAGTTCGATCATATTTCGATACGATGAATTTAATTTCACGAAAACGTAGAAATGTAAATTATCGATATTTTACTCACATCGGTTACGACCTTTAACGTTTTAATGTAAGCCACTTCGGTTTCGGCCAACTCCCAGAGAGCGGTTTGTTGCTGTGTTTGTTTCTCCGAGAGTAGGTGAGAATTCTCGACGATGTTGCGCCAGTCATCTTCTAAACTATAGAACGCTGAAACAATACGAAGAGACTAAGGATGCTTACATTACAATGGTACATGCTATAACAAACTATGTCATTTACTCAGATTATTTTTTATAGATCACATAAAGATGTAAGTTCTTTATAAAGATCATAAAAAAAAGATGAAAAAGAAAAGTTCCGCTTTAAGTCACGCCTCTTGTGTAAAATCACGTCGATCAAACGATAAACTATTTTGTTTAAAACACACAGGAATGTCCCTTATTCATCGACTTTCGATTTTCGATACTGCAAGCGCTAACGAAAGGATGCTATTAGTAATTTAAATTACTACAACGTTGCCAACCGCATTTCGTATATATCTATACGATAGCTTAGAATGAATTCTGTCCGACTCAAACAACCGCGTATTTTTGCACTCGAACAAAAACATTGTTCCGAGAAGTGGAAATAAAAAAATAACATGACTCTTCGACAACAGTCATTAAAAGCAAGAGTTTTCAAACTTTACCAATTTTGTCTGCGTGTAACGAATGGTGGGTGATGGTAGAAAAGGAGAATTTAAACGTTCTTTCGAGATGAAGATATTTTTTCGAGAAGGAAAGAGAGAACACGTTAAATGAAACGCGCAGATAAATGTTACTTCGAGATTTCGTCATTTTGAGGGAAATGCGCGAGAAGAGACGGGCGGAATTTGTACCTTCTTCGTTGATCGTATGATCACATTGAAAATGAATATTCGCGGGTTTCGGCACGCCGTGTTTGTTGTACTCGTCCAATTGGGCAGTTAAGAGGTCCATCTTGATACCCTTGGTGTTGGTGAAGAACCCGCTCCAGCGCTGCTTACTGGTTTTGAGTCCCGCAGCCCCAGCGGAACTCCGTCCAGCAGCGAGC